TGGTACCCCACGGTTTTGCAGCAAAGGGTGGTAGCAGAGATCACTATCAGAGCTCAATATGATTCAAGGCATGACTTCACATGACTTGTCACCACGTCAAGGCCAGAGATTTCAATGTTGCCTTCGTGCTGCAAAGCTGTCCTTACTCCAGGAGAGTCTGCCAACCTGCTCCGTCTTGCTTTCAATTCTTACTTCAGAGCATGTAAGCTAGTGGAATCATGTGGAATCCAATGTTCAGGGAAAACTGTTTTTTTGAAGCAAAAGAGTTCAAGTATGTTCAAATGCAATGTCCAATGGGCCCATCTTTGCTTCACTGCAAGCTGAAATACCCGTTGCTTAACTTGTTTCAGTTTGTTTTCTTCGAAGCAAGTTAAATAAGTTAAGCAAGTGCAACAGCACCAGAGATGATCGCTGTAGTAACGTCACACAAGTCCTACGTGTGCAGAGTGCAGAGTTTCAGAAAACGGAAACGTCGGACTCTACAAGGAGACCACGACAGAACCCCACACGTGGGCAAGTGTAGATAACTTGGAGCTTCGGCAGATTTAAGAAGGCTTGGTCTGCTTGGTCTGCCATGAAGTGTAATCTAGCGTGGAATAGGTGCAGTGAATGGTTTCATGCTATTTCAAGCTGATGCATTGCTTGGTTTAAGCGCCAAGCCCGTACATGTAGATTTGCACCACTCGGAAGCCCACCAAGCAATGCATTGGTCTGGCTAGTCGACACGGGCTTCTGCGAGGTTTGGTAATGCGCGTAAAAAAAAAATAACGAAATGTGTATTGAGTGTGCTGTGCTTGAAGTGCTATGGAGGGTTCGGTCTTGAATGGATCGTCTTTGATCAATACTAATCCTGTTCTATACTGCGCCGCAACACCAATCTTGCAGTGCAGCCGGACAGTGGCCTTCCCAAGTCCGATATCAACTGCAGAGATTGCACCACCTGTCCAAGTTCAAGCAATGATTGGACCCTGCAAAAGGGAAGATAGTTTGGCAGAGTTCATTTGCATGGACTATAAACATTGCAGCATTTAGGATGGCATAGGACAAATGCTGGAGTTGATTTATATACTTACAGTAAATTTACTTGAAGGCTTCCAAATGTATCAAAGCGGATCCGTGTTGGGTAATTTAGTATAAATCGGCATAGCCGGATAGAAAGCAAGGGTTTTCCAGCAAGGTCACGACATGTCACGACATGGCTGCTCCCTCAGAGCACCTCTCCTAAGCAAACTTGGGTCTGCTTCAACACCCATGGAGAAATCAGACTAAGAGCATGAGGGACAAAAGCAGAGCAAAAAAGAATCTTGTTGAACATGGCCGCAAGCACTTGTGAACAAGTGTCAATTCATTCAAAGGGATCCCAAAGATTGACATATATAGAGAGGCTAGAAGCTAGAAGCCAGAATGTGGCCAGAGCCTGGGTATAATATCAAGCTGAGGTCTGGATTTGCTTCCAAAGTCTCGGGATTGAAGCGACTTCATGGCATGGTATCTGCATTTGACACCACTTGACCAGGTTATAGCGACCATGCTAGATATGCTAGCAGTGAAAGATATTGAAACGCTCTGTTTAAAGGGTGGCGAAGTGGCATTTCATCAAGCTAAGGTCGTAGATCTGAAGCTGCCAAAAGATTAGCTGGAAGCCTTGAAGACTGCATTGGAACTCTGTGTGTGTGTGTTTTGTTGGACAAATTTGCGAATTGCGCCGCTTCCACCCACATCACCCCCGAAACGAGCCTGGAAGTCTGCACTCCACGGCATATCTTGTAGCCTCCAGAGCGGGGCGCAGAACTTGAAAATCAAGTTCCCTAGACTCATGCTAGTGCTTGAAAATGTCCAGCTGGTGTTCTCAAGAACTCTCCTCTGTGGATTCTGCATCTATACCAACTTCCCTAAGCCCGCCTGCATAGATGGAAGACCTTTCCAAGATAGTTGCAGGGACTCTTCAAAGGCCTGCAGCTCTTCAAAGGCTAAACTACTTACCTTTAGAAGTGTAAAGAAGACTAGTAGTCGACTAGAGAGAGCATAAATCACACCATATCTGAAACCGAGTTGACCACATGCCGACACAAAGCATGGAATCATCGATGAAGAGCAAATACTCAAGCTGAGAAAGGAAATCCTAAGTTTTGACATGAATGTTGTACATTGTAAATTTTGACTCCATGTGTCTCCCACTGCAGGGGAAGGATGAAAAAGGAAGACGCGCGTCACACATGGACACAAGTCCTGCTGCAAATCCAGCGCTGCCCACAGTGGCAATAGTGGCCTGCTTCACTGCATCGAGCAGGTGATCAATGCAGTCCTGACATGCTCTGAGGTCTTGGGCTCCAGCTGTCTGAGTTTGGAGGTATTTTGCACCTGCGCCCACCACTTTTAGCAAATGGAGCGTTTGAACTCATCTGTTTGAATACTTCCTGGTATTTCATGGTCGAAGGTGCAAAAGCTTCCTTACAAGAATCTAATCATGCAAAGTGGCTGCTTCAATCGACAGATGCCATGCACTGAATGAGACACACACACACAGCGCATTCTTTTTTCAACACATCATGGTCACCCAATTCATACACTGGCAAGGAAAAGCAAACTCCGCTTGCATTCGACTTTCCAGTACATGTAGCGACTGCGTTCGCAGACCGTCTGTACAATTGACAACTGGGCAACAACAAGCAGCAGCTAGCATTCATCGCTTCTGCGGTGTAGCATTCCGGTACTTCCGGCACTCAACAAATGAGCAGTTTTGGCATCATGAAAGAATCAAACACCATCGACAACGTCATCCGGAATTCTTCGTTTAAAACGAACATGTCTACTCAAGATAGTCATCAGCTTTGCAGATGGCTGTCAAAAAAAGGATACTAACTCGCGGTGAGACATTGCAGCCCCTTGTGCGTTGGCAACATGTGGGCGCACACCCAAAACTGAGGGAAGTCAGCATGGACACTGAGGGTAAGTAAGCCTTATAAACAAAAAGGGCCACGGATATACAACATATGTATAGTATGTATATGAATCCACCGGCCTGCCGGCGTGTCTGATTGGAAGGTGTTGTTCGTGTTTCTGTTCTTGGCTTGTACTTGTTCCTTTGTTCTCTTGCTGCGCGTTTTTGCTTCATCTGAATCACAAAGTCCCCCCCCCTCCTCCCCCCACCCTTCCAAGTACAAGTACAAGTACAAGTACAACTACTACTACTACTACAACTACTACAACTACTAAAACTACTAAAACTACTACTACAACTACTACTACTACAACTACAACTACAACTACTACTACAACTACTACTACAACTACAACTACAACGACGACGACAACAACAACACCAGCATCAGCAACAACAACTACAATTACTACTTCTTCTTCCTCTCCTACTTCTACTTCTACTTCTTCTTCTACTTCTACTTCTACTTCTGCTTCTGCTTCTGCTTCTGCTTCTACTTCTACTTCTATTTCTACTTCTAGTTACTACTACTACTACGACGACGACGACTACTACTACGACTACTACGACTACTACGACGAGGACGACGACGACGACGACGACGACGCCGGCGACGACAACGACGACGACGACAACAACGACGACGGCGACGACGACGACGACGAGGACTACGACTAGGACTAGGACTACGACTACGACGACTACGACGACGACTACTACTTCTACTACTACTACTACTTCTACTACTACTACTACCACTACGACTACTACTACTACTACTACTCCTGCTACTACTACTACTACTACTTCTACTACTACTACATACCGCGACTACTACGACTACTACTACGACTACGACTACGACTACTACTACTTCTACTACTACTACTACCACCACCACCACCACCACGACGACGACGACTCTACAACTCCTACTCCTACTCCTACCCCTACTCCTACTCCTACTTCTACTTCTACCACTACTACTACTACGACGACGACTACTACGACTACTATACGACTATACCACCACGACAACGACGACGACCACCTCGACTACTACGACTATACCGCCACGACAACGATGACGACGATGACGACGATGATGACGTCACTACGACTACGACTCCGACTATACGACTACGACTACGACTACTCCTACTCCCACTCCTGCTCCTACTCCCACTCCTACCCCCATCCCACCCCGACGCCCACTTCGACGCCTCTACTCCTCTGTGCTCCTTCCTCCCTTCTTCCCCAAGTACTACACTGGTAGTGCCGGTAGCTAATGACAGTGCCTACAGCATTTCCGTCGTCTACAGGTACTTGCTTGTCACAGGACACACACGGTACTAATCGACCAGTGCTCATTTGGTATGTGTTCCATTGGTTGTTCAAGCACGCACTTGCTACTCAAGCTGCTTCTGATCTACGGCGCTGTCTTCGTCTCTTCTTCTCTCAGGCTTCCACCTAGCGTGCACGTCAACCTCCCTTGGGGCAATCTCTCTCCCCTGTCTCCTTCCATGCAGCGGTCTGCTGTCAAGCCGGAGGCTCATGCACAGTACCTGGCGCTACTTTGCTGGGGGCGGTACTAATTTGGTATACGGTCAATAGGTTGTTACAGCAAACCTTGCTACACAAGCCGCTTCCGTTTTATGGCTTTGTCTTCGTCTTCCTTTCTTATTTTTCTTATTTTTCTTATTCTTCTTATTCTTCTTATTCTCCGTCTTTTCACTTCTGCTCTCTCGCGGGCTTCCACCTAGAATGCACATCAAACTCCCTTGGGGCCACCTCTCTATGGCCGGCGGGCTTGCCGAAGGCAATTAAATATAACTACAACGGAAATACAACAAATATACAAGAAATAACAATAGATCGATAGAGAATTATAGAGAAGCAAAATCCTCTCTAGCACTCCAGGTTCCTCTGAGCCTCCCATCAACTGCAGTGCACGTCATCTACTCTACGACTCACATGGGTTCCTGAATTGGTCGTTTCAGGTCAGTTTAGGTCAGTACCTGCAGGTTTTGAAGCAGCATGTAGGCAATGCGGCAACCGGCTACATCCGCATTCTGCTTTCTCGTTTCCTCTCTACGAATATTGTGTTTATGTCAGAAAGTCTCTTCAGTTCAATGAATGCAAAGGATGTTCTTCCCGTCTTCCAGTGAAAGCCCTTTTGCCTGCCGGTTTGCACAGAAGCCTCGGGTGTCTCGGGAAAGAACTCTTCCAGAGCCTGGAACAGTTCTTCTCTCGCGTGGCTGCAATCTGTGACATCAAAGCAAAAACATGGTGAAACCTTTGTGAACCTCCAGATCCAGTCCTTTCTTACCACCAAATCTCCGATCGAATTTCAGCGGGCCTTGTCAACCATTTTGCTCGTTCCCACATCATCTTCGCGCAAAACATCGGATAGATCTTCCGGCCTGTTGTTGAGGATTCAAAAGATATCAAGAATATTATTGTCCCAAAACGTCCAAAGGCCAACAGTTTGCTTTACAAGTGCTATCTCTACGGGGAGCGGAGGAGAGGAAGCGCAAGGAAGAACTACCTGTACTTTGTAACGTTCACATCTATTCGTCCAAATCGTGCCAGGTTTGCGCAATTGCGTTGAGCCTTTCGCAGAATTCAACTGCATACCTCTCAGGAAGTGAGACATGACACTGAACTTGCTAAAGAACACTGCAGAGGAGTGTTCCACAGCAATTCGTGGAATACTTTGGTTGCATTTGGTTGCTTTCTTCAATCTAGACTACTTGATGTTTCTTTGCTTCTTGGAATTCTTGGACAGCTTCACACAATTGAACTTGTGGAAATTAGGGCACATCTTGCAGAAGCTCCAGGGCCTGAGATGCTCAGAATCTTTGTAATTTCGATGCAATAGAAAAGCCCCACAAGCTCCCGGCCGTCAAAACGTTTACCACCCTGTGAGGTCCAGCCCACCCGTAACTGCTTTATTGGGATGAATTTGTGCTAACAAGGTAAACTCAACACTTGCACAATATCGTTACGCACTACTATGCTGCAACTGTTGCAACTGGCAGCCACCAAAATGCTGTTCAATTGAACCTGAACAAAATTCAACGCAAAAAGTAGTGGGATTGTGGATCCGCTCCAACATGCCCGGGGGGAAGAAGATTTTCGTGTTGCGCAAATCTAGCTCCTAGGTGCAGAGATGCAATGAAATAATTCATGGTAGACGAGATGTCTTGCCAATGAAAATAACAGTAATGATATTGATGGGGCATCACAACTCTAAAGGAACATACCAATATTAAAAAAAGAGAACTAATTTACATTGAAAATCATTGAAATAAATCACACAATATATTTAGTCTTAGCATTACTTGTTGTTAGTTTTTGTCATGACAATAAGTTGCGAAAGAATGTAGTAATATAGTAATATTAATGAAGGTGGTGCTATGCCATTACATTGATAGCGAAAATGATCAACCCACTACTTGTAACTACTGTCACGCATTTGTATGCATTTGTCATGCTTTCTTTTCAAAGGGTCTGAACCCCCCACACGCCTATATGTTTGATGTTGGATTGTTATGATTTGTTTGTTTGTTCCTTTTCAACATGTAGGTGTTTCTAGGGTCATTTTGACCATAAATTCACCCGAGGCCAATGGAGGCTATATAATTTCAGCATGATGTAGCTTCTATGGTAGGCGATTTATTTACTCTAGAGAAGCAACTTAAAAGATCATGGGCGACTGTAATCAGCAAATTGGCAGGTTCGTTGTTTTTCCCTGGTCTATTCAATAAATCACTATGCAGACTTCGTAAGCCAATTGTATAAATGTCTTTGCAGTGTCAGTCGCATGCAATAGTTTTGTTCCAACTCCTCTGCAAAATCAAAAATCCATTCAGAAGAAATCTATACTCCCCAGAACCCCACGTTTCCATTTCTTGGGGAGGGCAGGGTTTCTCAAAAGGTTTCAGCAATGCTAGCATCAACTGGAATCTACCGCCCCGAATCCTGAAGCCCGCTTGCGTCTGATCTCATCTCCCATTAGGCCATGCGTGAAGTAAATCTGCGGAGTTCCAAATCGAAACAAATTGATACAAATTGAATATATATATATAATATAATTGAATATATGTTGTATCTTATGGATTGTTATGGTATGTTCAGATTGCTCAGATCTCTCGTTTTGCTTCAACAAGGCCGGCACAAATGGTGCAAGCACATCTCCTTTGCGAAGATGTCGTTGCTGGCAGGAAGTCAGACGTCAGGAATGCCAAAATATTTCAAAATGTATCATGCTCAAGACATTTCAAGACATCTACCTGTGTCTCAAGCACTTTGAGACTCACCAATTCTAGAACAGTCCGACATGCTCATTCAAACAAAACATGATGTACAACAAGGATAAGTTTAGCGGAGAACTTTGGAGATACGCATGTGAATGCAATCACTGATTGACTCTCTCGACACAATCTCACACACTCTCATGCGTCCACTCGCTCACTCGCTCACTGGCTCACTCGCTCACTCCCCTTAACTGAACCTACCTCGGCTCACCCTACCTCAGCTCAACTTACCTCGATACTAGACCAGACTCGACCTTGCTCAGACTCCTTGCGTCAAACCACACCCCCACTCGAACCTACTCCATTATCATTAACATATGCAACTCTGCCAGTGACATTCCCGATCATCTGCCAGTAAGGATATGCGCGGCAAATGGCGCATGTTTGGTTTGCTTAGTGTCAGTACGGTGGCTGTAGTTGTCTGTGACTTTCACGAGGGAAATGGTTCACCCTTCTCAGCTCAAGTGGCTTTCGTTCGCACGTTTAAAGCTGCACTGTGCTCAGCATAGATGCTCAATACATGGTTGTTGATCTTCATTTATCCGGGAACGGCCATTCTTCGCGAATAAACAATTTACTTTCGCAAAACTTTCGCGACCTCCATGTTTATCTTTCGTGGAACCCATATTGAGCAACAACTCCTCTTCTGAAGACTCATCCATCACCTGCCAAATCACACCAAATTGTCAGAGATTACTTCTTCATAGCCTTGCAAACATGCAGCTAGCATCACGGAATCCCCTTCTCAGGCCAGGTTGTTGCTGATCAGGCGATTTTTTTGCAAGGGTTACTGGGCCACTGCCTTCAAAATGCGCTTTAACTTTCGCCCGCTCCTTCGCAGAACTTTCGTGGAACTTTCGTGAAAATATCCCTATTTGCAGACCCCCATCAGCAGGGGGCGCATCAAAGGAAAAGCAAACACCAGGGGCCTTGGCGTTTTGCTTTCGCAAAGCCTCGAAGCTTGGCTGCTTCATGTGGAGCTTGCTTCTTGAGACTTCAGAAAGCATTGTTAGGCAGTACCAGCGGCAGGTCCGGATGCGCTTCAAGACCACGGTATTTGGCTGTGGCGAAGCCTCACCTTCGGTAGCTCCGCTGCTACCTATGAAAGGAAAGATGAATGTGTGAATCAATATGGATCAATATTGCTAGAGTGGCTATGCAAGTTCTATGTAGACATGTTGCACGCAGTTGCTGGCACGATCGTGTTTCGTCTTGGTATCCGCCATTGCCAGTGCACTCTCCCTGTTTCTCGTGATACGAGTATGAAGAAGTATGCAGAAGTAGTACTTTGAAGCGTTGATAACTGCGCATTGTCATGCTGCTATACCAACCAAGGTTTCCACTGAAATTGCAATGCATGTCGAATCTCCGTCTAATAATATGTATATATATATAAGTCTATATATCAAGTTTCGAAAAACAGACTTTGTGTAGCTACTTGGCAAAGATAGGACATCACATTCACACGCCATCATTTCATTTCAAGGAGTCCAGTATGCAATCGCCTAGATATCTCAACGAACTACTCGATCACTCAATGCATCACTTCATCATTGAATCAAAAGACAACCTCAACAACTCACTCTTCTTTGCCACAGCAAATAATCATTGGATCCCGTATCCTGTGGCTCTGAATGCCAACAAACATCGCAGGATTTTGTTAGGTGCAAGCTAGTTGAAGCTCTGATTGCAATCATATAAGGCGTCAGCGTGCCCTCTCAGGCTCACGAATTTGCATGAAGCAGCAGATTATGCAAAGGCTACCAGCACAGAGGCATAGAGTCCAAAAGGTCGAAAGTTCGCCAAAATTGGCCAAAGTTGGCAATCTTGCAAGACACTTTTTGAAGCGATCCAGCATGATCCGGTCCAGCCATATGAAGCTAAGCATTTGGCTGAAAAGACGTGGCACAAGAAGAGAAGCTCAAAAGGTCAGGAAATTCTGTATGTTCAAAAAGCTTCGGGGATGTCAACAGTACAAGTGGACAGGGGCACCATATTCCGATCAGCTCTCCCGGGGACAACCTAAGCAACATCAAGATCCAACTGAATCCAATTGCATCATAAAGGAAAACGTCCGTCGCATTTTGACTTTTTGCATCTTCTTGCCATATCTTGCCATATCTTGCCATATTCAGCAGGGTTGAGCAAGGTCTGGTGCAAAACTTGGCGCCCTGCACTTTGCAATCTCCCATGTGGCGCCATGAGACCCAAAGAGCAGGTTCCACAAACGACTCCTTTCTGGCACAGGATGCATTGAAAATCCAGATTTATATCATAAGCACACGATACAGTAATTGCAATCTATCTCTACCCCAGAAGTATCACGGAAGTGTCATGTCACATGAAATTCTCCTGTTGCTGCAAAGCTGGCTCCAGCACGATACGGTTCAGGCCGATATACCTCAAGTGCAAACAGTTATCAGCAAAGGTGTTGCGGGGTTGCCTATTTTGTTCAAAGCGGCTGTAAATCACCCTGCTTGATGAAAAGCATCTGCTTTGCTTCATGGCCTGAAACGGTTCTGCGACACGAGTAACAGAGTAACACACACGAGTGACACACAAGCATGAACCAAAACGAGCCGAACATCAGTTGTTCCAAAGCTGTGGACAATTTGATCCAATCTGATTTTTGCTGCGACGTGCTACAATGCTGCTACAACATGCCAAAACATGCTACAACGTGCTCAAACTAGTGTCACTCCGCTGCACAGGAGCCTGCTGTGAAAACAATGTCTCCAGATGCGAGCGCAATCTCGATCAGAGCTGAATGACAGAGCCTATGCATGAACACCTGGCAATCACATCAATCACACTATGAGAGAATGAGAGGCTATTGACCTGCACTCAATGAGGCTTCTGATGGCTTCAGTCATTTTGCGAAGTTGCGTTGTGTTCTTGAAAAATGATCCGATGCATTCTGAGACTGTGTGCTGGTCACACCTTGTCACATCATCTATACAACAGTGCACTCAAAATCTCACAAGTCTTGAAGGCCTTCTTTTACATCAAGACTAGCCAGCATGACAGGCATCTTCGAATTGACTGCTGAGAAAAAAGGATGTGTTGCGATCCAGTGCACCACAGTCTCATACCTCCGTCAAAGCTGGCGGCAAGTGGATTTGATGTCATGAATCATCATGTACAATGCGATGCACAAGGTGATGCACAGCGTGCTTGCCAATCGAACAATTTGACTTTGAGACGTACCAAGCTAGACAAGGATTGAAGCTGCGGCAGGCAATAGGGAAGTGACGACAACTCTTTGCGAAGAGGTTCGGATAGCTGCTCCAAGATGAGGACACTGCCTTGCAATCGAAAGTTGTTTGAACCAAGCATCAGCCAGTTTAAAATTACCAATGTCATGCAACGCCGGTCTGAACTCAGAACTGCACAGTGGTAGCAAAATGATGTCACGGAGAAAATGGAATCGGTGGGATGGTGCCGAAAGATCAAGGCTTTGTGGAAGACACAACACTGAGCATCTTGCTGCTATGCACCGTGTCATGCTCCTTTTGCGCCTCACCAAAGCTCTTGAGTATTGCGCTAAACACAAACTTGCATTGCAATCTCCAACCTGATTCATGGCTTGTTCAAGTACGAATACACAGACAGTCTCACTCTCACTCTCTCTCTCTCTCTCACGCTCAATCTCATCTCACTCATCTGCCCAAGTCTCTTGAGATGTCTCGAGTCTGTCAAATCTTTGCCAAAACGCCACTCTGCAGAATGGGAACTTTGAAGCAATGGCCTTGTATTCCAGGAACTTGGTGATTCGCAATTGCCTCATCTTGACCCAGAATAAAGCGCAATGAAGCACAATGAAGCAAATAAGCACACCAAACTCCACCAGGTTTCTGACACCTTCCACCTTCCAAAGCTGGAATCGTCTAAGCAGCAGGCAGCTCTCTGCGAATGTGCCGCTGTTTCATGTATTTCCGAAGTAGCCAGAACTGCTTCATCTGCGCACCCTACAGGGACATGGTTGCTTTGACTCTGAATCGTTTGGCCAGAAGCACACCTTGGACATCCTTTGGACATATTTAGACATCATGGTGAGATCTACACTGCCCTTCCAAAAATCACTTCCATCTTGGTTCCGTGCGCGCAAGTTTTGCAAGTGAGCCATTGAGGCCTGGAAGAGGAAGTTTGGAGCAAAAAACACTATATATCGATTGAAAAAAAATGTTGGTCATTCTGAGTCATTTCAAGTCGTTTCGAGTCATTCTGAGTCATGCTGAGTCAGACTGAGTCATACTGAGTCGTTCTGAGTCATTCCGTATTCCACACTTATTCTGCCTGAAAAGTTCAACCGAATCTGTGCTTAGTCCGTTGCTGTGATGTGCCCAACAATGGATGAGAAAGCCACCTGGAGTCACCATTTAAATTCTTAAACACATGCAATCTCGGTAAAGGCTCTCCGAAACTTTGCTGAATATATATGTATATATGTATACATATATTTTTACTGTCAGTTGCATGGTTTCAGTCTAAGTGCTGGGCCATTGCAAAAAAGAGAACCAAAATAGACGTCACCCGTTCTGATCTGTTTGCTGCTGACACATTCATCCTTGGTGTGGCATTTGCTGCCTGAAAGGTCACAAAACCAGCCACACTAAATGTATCACAAAACAGCGTCACATGCACAGATTAGGCAGGCTGCGATGCAGGCGTAAACTGTGTCAAACTCCTGGGCAGCTGAATGAAATATATAAACCCTTCACAAACAAGCCATCCAAACCTCAACATCAACAAATACCGAGTGCTATGAACCATCTGAGCAGAATGCCAGTGAAGGGAAGTGAAGTACATGTAAATCTGATCGTCGACATATTCGCCGCCTCAAGAGATTGCGAGCAAAAACCGGCATGGAAGCTTGGCCATCAATTCCAAATCTTCCAGCTTCAGATCTGTAACTTTCCCTTAAAATGAAGTGGTTTGAGAGAACTGGCAGCTCAAATTTAAGGTCAGTCAGCTACAACTTCGTTGAGTGTTTTTGCCATCAGGAATGTTCCCCGTCTAGGCTGAATTTCCAACAACGAGAGTTGTGGCTGAGGCAGCCACTCATTTCAAACCAATTGTGTAGTCCAGCGAGCATTGTCTGCCTCCCCACCAGGTACCTGGACGGATTACGCGTGAGAAAGATATAGAAAACAACAGAAAAATGTATGTGTTTACATTATATGTATGTATACAGTTGCATATAATTATAATATATTATAATATAGTATGCATATAACTGCATGATGTCAGTTTCATGTATATATGAACGCACTGAGTAAGCACGAAACTATTTCGCTGTTTCTGAGACGCACCAAACGCAGGCAATCACGTGATTCAGGACCTAGGTCAGTGCAATTGCCAGCGCAGGCAATTCAAAGCAGCTCAGTAAGCTTTGAGTGGACTGTGTCAGCTTTTTAAGATCTTGAGTGAGTAAGCCGGCCGCTAAAACGGCAAAAAGAAGCTTCAACAAGTTGATGACAGTAAATGTGTACCTCAAAAGGTGGACAGGAATTTTAGCGCCATCACATGTCACATTGCCACATTGCCACTTCCTTGTTCCAATCCCAGAGCACTCACTCTCAACCAACTCCAGCAGCGCGTCAACTATCCGTCGCAACTTCAAGAGCCGCAGGAGCCGAAGTACTCCTCAGTCTGACTCAGTCTTGCAAAACATGATTTTTTTGATCTCTCCAGATGTTCCGGAGCCAAAATAGCTCGCAAGAACCTGCAATCAGCGATGATCGATTCCAAATTTGCCGATATCCCAAGAGCCTTTCTTTCAAACCCTTTATTGCTCTCCAAAAATGCGTTCCTCACACAGTTTTCCTGGACCATGTCAACACTGTGTCAAGCCAGTCACATTCAGATCCATTGAAAGAGGAACCTGTTGGCAGCTACCAGCTCTTCCAACAGTGTTTAAAAGTCACGCTTGCACAGGCCGAATTCACCTAGCTAATTGTCAAGACTTATAACAACCCCGTTCCACTGGTTAGTCTTGCTATGCCGTGCTGATGTTGCCGTTTTTTGCTGCGTTTGCCCTTTCCGCATTCTTTGGAATGTGCAAACTGATGACAGGGAGCTGACTGGGAGTACTTTAATCTGAGATTCGGACTCATCGCCCTCCCCAAACGCAGGATTCGGCCAATGCCGACGCCATCAAGGCCAAACTGCACAGGGCGTGTCATCGCAGGATTCACATACCAAATATACCAGTCCAGGTCTTAGCCGAGAAAAGTAATAAGGACTTGTAAGGACTAGGGGCTGGAGGCAAAATGAAAATGTTTGCATATCTTTAACAAATACGTTTGCCCTGAGTTTCAAGCAGCCTTCCTTGCAGAGTGGTCAAACTCTAAGGCTGCCACACCATCAGGTGAAAATGACGTGAACCATTCTGGCCTTCCAAGGGCTTGGATGAGACTGGAATGAGCTCATGGCTCCACAGCTCCACAATACTACGATATTTCGTAAATGTTCATAATATTTCGCCTAAGTTCTGAAGTTGTTAGATCTGTCAGATCAATAGAAGCTGCACATAGCTGCACATAGCTGCACATAGCTGCACAACTTCAGCCGAGCTTGGAGCATATACCAAGAAAGATATGGGCAGCTGCAAACAGGCGGAGCTGGCCCAATCACCACCAAATCTACGACAAACCACGTCTTCAAATAGTTCGGGACTATCCTCCTCGAAGGAGCTGCAGGCACGCAGTTTGTCTCAAAAAAATCCGCATCTTGTCTGTTCGCAGAATGCAACCTGTCCTAAACTCCATAACCTGTACTCCTTCTTGAAAGTATCCAGTGAAGAAGGACTGGATCATGTCGAGGGTCCTGAATGTCAAGCAGCTCGGAGCATGCATTCTGTCTGCCAATCCAGAACATTGTGAAGCAAGGCCCCGACCAGTAGAACAGCGTCACCCAATCCATGCTTGATAGAAAAGCGTCTGGCGATCAGTCAAACAAATCTCTGAATCGACTCAAACGAACTTAACTTACACACTGTTATTCATGACATATGCAAGCAATCGCCCAAGCACTCTTGGAAAAAATTACGCACAGACCCCGTGGTTTGCCCGGACTGCAACATTGAGGATTCCCTGTCGCCGAACATGAGAAGAGAAATTGCAGAAAATACTGCGTATACGCAGTGTTTTCTGCTTTGGGATTCAGAGTTTTCAGGGTTTTAGGGTTTATGGCATTAGGGTTTAGGGTTTTAGGGGAGGGTTCGGCGTCTGGTAAATACCAAAACACTGGCCCTGCGCAGGTTTTTGAGCGAAGGACAATATTTGAACTCCATTCTAACCTTGCGGGCAAACCATAGGGTCTTGCCGAAGTCTTGCCGGAAAGAAACGCTGATCTGGTGTACAGGATGCAAGTCCTCAACTTTGGCATGTCTATAACAGAAACGACATTAAGATCCAATCAACACAGAAGCGCCTCTGGATGACACATACATTCAGAGCTGCAGCTTATGGTCCTATGGTAACAAATTCCTTTGATCCAACTTTCCACTGGTCAGCCATTAAATGGGTTTTTACGCAGTCGATGTTCACATGTATCTGAACGTGCGTGTGTGTGTGTGTGCGTGTGTGTGTGAATGCCTTATCATGTGCCCGGACTGTAAAGTTGTTAATTATCAATTTTGTCCTCCTGGAAAGGCCCCTTCGGTGTGGCAGTGTGGCGTTCTTTTCTGCGGGAAAATTGTCCTAAATATGGGTTCAAAAGAATAACTATTTAAAATGCAAAGTGAGAATCTAGCTGAATATAGCTGAATAGCGTTTGTTTTTCGAATTTTCCTTGTCTCTGCATGACCAGTAGCATATATATATATTATGTATAGTATCATATATATATAGAATCTATAGTAGTATATATCAGAACCTACCCAAAGGCCTAGTCCCAGCCTACGCCCTATAATATCAGGAGGTAACCTATACACGGGTAAGGAGTGCCTACCCAACCCTTCGAGGTGCAGGCGTCTGCCTACACGACCACAATTCCTTGTTTTCTGTGGCATGCGGCATGACTTTATTCCGGACGAATGAATGGATTCCACTGTTGGAAAAGTGTGTGTGTGTGTGCGTGTGTGCGCGCGCGCAAAGCCTACACGGTGTATAGACTAAAGCCAGTCTGCGCCAACTAGTACGCAGCCCACGCCATCTGCATTACATGGTACCCCCGCTTGGGGCATAATATGTCTATGAAATTCCCTGTTGATCTTGTTTTCCGTGTCCATTACACAGAACCGTTACACTCAGCTGGCGGTTTTATGTCAATGAATGCAAGTTGTCAAGCAAGTCGTACCAGTATCCTGCAAAAGGAGTCAGATTCATTTGAACTCATTGATTCACCCGATCCCTGCTGATCGTAGACAGTTCCTCAATGGCCGTATATTTGTTTCGCAACGTTCCGAATGACTATCCCCTTGCCACCATGTACATCAAGTCTTTTCTGGGTTAGCTGCTCAGCATAGGTTCCTGCAGTTTGATATTTGCACAAGTGCTGGAACGAGTTTGTACATTTTTGTTTACAGCGAATATTACTTATATTGCAGGCAGGTTGACATGCTGAAGTCCGCGGAATCAGCCAGGTTGCCTTTCTCAAAGTCAAAAACCTGCATTGGTATCATGAAGGTGTCCCAGAGGATGAAAAGCAGTCCTTCGAAAGCGCGCAACCATTCACGGCAGAACAATTGCAAGTTAAAAATTGCCACTATCATCCACTATCATGTATATCTGCGAAGGAGGAAATCATAGGAAATCTATCAAGTGAATGAATAGGAAGTGCTGAAATGTGTGCAAGCAAATTAACACCAATGAGTGATCACGTGACTGGGCGAGAGATATGGATAGGAAAGAAATAGCTGTAGTAATGAGCAAAGCAAGCAAAGAAGCGAGCCTACAACCAAGCAAAAAAACGTGAAAATCGGCAAGTAAGCAAGGAGAAGAGAACCAGGAGAGCAAGCAAGCAGGCAATCCAGCAAGCGAGCAGGTAGAAAGTGATGAAGATTGGAGCAAATCCGCCAACCATGCCAACCCAGCCGGAGCAACGGGGCGCGTTTGGGAAGAACAATTCCTTACAAAACAAGCAAAAAACACAAACACCAACACCAGCACCACCACCAGCACACCAGCACCAGCACCAGCACCACCACCAAGAAGAAGAAGGAGGAGGAAGAAGAAAAAAAAAAAACAACAACAACAACAAAAACAACCAACAACCAACAACAATCAACAACCAACAACCAACAACCAACAACCAACAGCCAACAACCAACAACCAACAACCAACAACCACAACAACAACAACAACAACAACCAACAACCACAACAACAACAACAACAAACAACAAACAACAAACAACAAACAACAAACAACAAACAACAAACAACAAACAACAACAACAACAACAACACCAACACCAACCAAACAAACAAACAAACAAACAAACAAACAAACAAACAAACAAAACAAACAAACAAACAAACAAACAACAACAACCACCACCACCACCACGACCACACCCACACCCACACCCACGAACCAACCAGCCAGCCAGCCAGCCAACCAACCAACCAACCAACCAACCGTTGTAACCAACCAACCAACCAACCAACCAGCCAGCCAGCCAGCCAGCCAACTCACTAACTAACCAACCGACCAACCAACCACACAGTAGTTTCTGCGCAATGGTGACTTCATTGCATCGTCCATCCCGGCCATCCATGCCGCCTACAAGATAGGCGCGTAATGACCTTCAGTTGCAACTGTAGGCGAAAAAAAAAGAAGTTGTGGGCCTTTTGTGGCCATCGAAAATTTGTTATCTAGGAAAAAAAATGGATAGAGACTTTCACCCCCGGCGAAAAAAAAAGAAATTGTGGGCCTTTTGTGGCCCACAAAAATCTGTTATCTAGCAAAAAAATTGGATAGAGACTTTCACCCCCTTGCGAGCAACACTAGAGAACCTCACTAGAATAACATAGATGGGGATGCTGCCTGCACCCTGAAAACATTTTTTCAAAATAAATTTGGCCAGAGATGGCCAGAGCCACCAATTCCGGTGCAAGCGGTTGTCATCGCGAAGAGCTGGAAGAGAGAATGTCTTTAGTCAGTTGGGCGGGCACAAAAAGGGTATAAATTCAAACCGAGCAAAGAGAAACTCGTTCTTGCACTAAATTTTACATATCTTATGTGTCTTTGGCTTGGTGGACCTGCGTTCAGTGTCGATGTCTGTGTGTGTGTGAGATCTCCTGAGTGTTTTTTTCCAAGCACCTATGTTTGCAAACATGAACACGCACCTGCGTGCTCCCGTGGCAGGTTGCGCTTAATTGTTTCTTAGTGATGCGCATGTGCTACTAGTTGGACGTTCTTGTTAAAATGCTTGCGTTCCCTTACAGTGCTATCCCTGGACTGGCCTTAAAGATGTGATCTGGAGCACCTAGTCTATGCCAACTCTTGTGAAGATCCACCACCCACCCACTGTCTTTTCAAAGTCCTAGAAGATCCCAGAGCATTCGATATGTTCCAGTTGGAGATATGATTCCTGGCCATCAAGTGTGGCAGAAGTATCTGCAGAATTCTGCAGAGCTGGAACTTTATCAGGCAAAATAGTCAAACAGTGGTTTTCTGAACCGCCTGGCGCACAAGTGGCAGCAAGCACTGGAAGAAGAGACGTGCCCTGAGCACAGGTGCGTTCAGCAAGTCTGCAGCACTGGGCAATCCAGGACAATCGGACAATCGCAATCACTGTGACACCCGGGCCTGCCGCCGGCCAAGCATGAATTCCCCTGGCAGAGCACAAGAAGCACAAACAGGTGGTGCATTTACTATCACCTCACACTGCTTTCCCAAATTCGATGTGGACCATCCCTGGCAATCTATCTCTCTTTCGGCGAAATGCGCCATGACATTTCCCTCAAGAGTCTTGAACTATTGGCTTTTCGCCAAAAGCATCCACCAAGAAGTTCCATATTTCAATGCTTGGATTCCGCTGCTGCTACATCAAAGAAACACCCTGGGAACAGAGGGCACACTGAAAGACTGAAAGGTTCTTAAGTGTCCTAACTTCTTGAAAGATCAGTTCTAAAACCCTCCGGGTGGAAGCATCTGTTTAGTTTCAGTTTCGTAGATGTTGCAACTCTTGTTTAACAAAAGAGCAAAACCAACCAATTCGTCAATTCGCTGTCCATCATGGTCATTTGTGGGAGCAGGACAGGTGGCAAGTAGAAAAGTGCTTCAAACTGCTCTACATGCACAATCCCTGGAATCTACCGGACGAGAATTGTCGCATGGACCCCTCAGCCAAAACCATAGATCCTTCATTGTTGCGAATTCTTCGCTCCGAAGATTGGAAACTGGGCAGCATGACGACCAACACGCAGTGACGTCTTTGGCGGAACGTTGGCAGCATTCAACCTTCACATCTGGCTTCGCACTTGGCAACAAATGCTGCCGTGAACTTTCAGAAGGATGTGAACGTTTTGTCCAATTTCCGTCAAAATCACGGTTCCAGTCCTTGCACGATTCGTGGCCGCCACATAGTAGTGGAAGTTGCTACCTCAGTTCCGTCTTGAATACTGCTCAGGTTTCTACCATTTCTTCCGAAAGGTTGGTGGCTGAGCTTTGCATGAAGACTGACAGCCGGCCAAGCACTCTGCATGTCCTCTTGGAATATGGACCAAATACATCCAAATACAATCTTCTGGGCATGAGACCGCACAGGAAAATAGCAGGCTGCAAGACGAACAACCCCTCCAAATTGGAATGCTAAATTGAACATAATAAGTAATTATAATTATAAGTCATGATAATGACACCAGTATGTTGGAACAAGCAAAATAAGCGGGCTTGTCCAGAATGTAAAGAAAGGTCCAGAACTTCGAAGAGTGTGCGGAGTGAAGCATTGTGCCAGCAGATCAAGTACTGGCTCGCCCTTTCTTCGCTGGTGCACCAAGACTCGATCGAATAGCCAAGGCAGCGTTTCAAACTTTAATACGCTGCCAGAGGAACAAGGAATGGAGAAGAGACAGCAGAAACCTTCTGAGTTTTTGCTGGGCGTGGCGTATCTTTATTTCACAGACTTTGGGAAAAGTACTGCAAATTATCTGCTTTGGCTGAATTCACTTGATGCATCAGAGACGGTTGTGGGGTTCCGGAATGGTGGTGTCGGGTCTTGATGGGCTGTTTTGTTGTGTGACCGTTCTGTTGTCCGGGCGAATTGACATCCCCATATGATTGATCTGTGCCCTGAATAGTCTGACTTTCCAATCTCCAACCCCAACCACCAACAGACCAACGCCCAAGTTGCGGCAAACAGCTACATGAATACAGCACGAAACATGAGGTACAGAGATGGCGTTGCAACTGCTTCCACCCCGAAGACCTCACAGAAACTTTGTCGTTTTACCTCGTGGAGTTTGAATTCGGGGAACGGTCCGAGAAATGGATTTGTGAAAAACTGGCTGCATGCAAAGTCCAAGATGTTCTAAGTAAGTCATGGCTGGCCACTGGAAAGACGAGATACAACCGAACTAACCTTAGATACAAGAAGTTGGTTTAGTTGACTGGGAGGGGGTAGTCTTGTCCTGTGTACAACTTTATGCTATGGAATGCCTGATCCTGATTCATCCGTTGGGCTGGCTCCCAACTCACAGCACACAGTAAAGATTAGGAAAGAAGATTGAAGAAGGTTCAAGGGCAGAGAACTTCAAGACGGCCTCAAGTTGTTTCAGACTGAAGCTGCCGAATTTGACTTATATACATGTTCTGCGAAGGGCTGCCCCTTGCCAGTGGGACTTCTGTGTCCTCGTTGTCACTTAGATCTGGACCCGCGTCACTTCTGCCATCATATTCCAACCATTCTGCCTTGCATGTTGGCATGCTCGAAATATGTCGAAATCAATTTGAGACCAGCGGCACACATGCGCAAAGATTCGGGCATATTATGGAAAAATAGATACATTCGATGAAATTGAAAATATACATGAAATCAAATAGAATACAATAATGTTTATATACGGTAAATACATTTAAATATATGGATTGATTAAATATACGATATGGTATATTTAGACTACCTCCGGGAAGGTTTTCCGTGGCCCTCCCGGCCATTTAAACATACGGATTCAAAATATTCGAACTGGTATTTTAGACTACCTCCGGGAATGTTTTCCGTGGCTCGCCCGGCCATTTGAAAATTATCTATCTAGATTCAAAACATATGAAAGCATATGTTTCTTAAAGGCATGCGCCGTAGGGGTACGGTCCGCAAGTTGGGTACGGAGTACGATGGCGGGGGTACGGTGGATACGGTGGAGGGGTACGGTGGGTATGGTTGGAGAGGCGCGGTGGATTCGGTGGAGGGGTACGGGGTGGGTCGGTGGAAGGGTACAGTGGGTACGGTTCCCGTACCCACCATACCCACCGTCCCAAGCACCCACCATTCCGCACCTACCGCCCCACCGTAGTTTTCGCCAATAATTTTGACTCATGCAACAGATGCACGTCTACCATCAGTTAGATTCTCAGCTTCTCATCCCCAGGTCAAGATTGAAGGCAAAAAGAAGAAGGGAGCATATTGTCCATCCGGCAGCCACAGTTTACTTGTTACGGGCCGAAGGCTCGTATGCAGCCAATATAGCTTGAATGTGGACGCAAAGCAACTGTACAGGTATGCGAAATGCATTGAGGGTTGGAATTGTATGCAAAATGTCCACGTTTTGAACATCTCAACTTCCAAAAGTGCTCCGAGAATGGTGTGCTTTGTACATATTTTGACTTCGAAATTTGCTTCGCGCCACAACGGCATGCAATTTTTCATCTCTCATCTCCCCAGATGGCTCCGCACCCGCCGCTTTAGCGAGCCTACTTTTCGACCCTCCGGAGCTTCAAAACATTTGAAAAACACAGCAACTCGTGACTTTTCTACCTTTTCGCGCACCTGCATCTTCTTTCTTCTGACTCTTTCTCTTCTCTGATCTTCTTTCTTCTTCTCTTCTCTTCTCTGACTCTTCCCACCTCTGCTTTTTCATCTGTCGGAAGTTTGACTTCTAAACTTCCTTCGAGCACTAAGAGTCTAAGAGTTTGCAAAATCCTCACCATGTGTAACCTTTAAAGCCTAACCCCTTATAAACTTCAGGTCCTACTCATTCACGATCCCCACATTTTCCCACCTATAGCCTATAGTGGTTTTCGAACCCCCGGGGAAGCTGAAAATTTCTTATGCGGTCCTTAGCTAATGGTTCAACTGTGCTTGAATCGCCGTTTATATAAATATGCGGAACGGGCCCAGCCATTTAAATATACGAATGGAACTGGTGTTTCATACTACCTCCGGGGCCTCGCAGTCTGGCCCGCCCCCCCACATATTTAAATGTCGTTACCGTATATATATATACACATACACACATATACAATATACTATTTTATACATCATCAAGTATCGAATGATATCGAATGTAAATTAGTGTGAATGACATTAAATCATTCAAATATGGACAACATCGTACTGTGCGAACTGCCTTAAGGAGAAACCCCTCGTTGGCTTTGTCCAGGACCTGTCCGATTTGAGAAGTCTCGAGTTGGCAGAGCTCGAGTTTCAGAAGTCCGACATGATCCAACCAACCGAACCAACCGAACCAACCGAACCAACCGAACTAACCGAACTAACCGAACTGACACTGAGCGCAGGTGGGAGATATACAAGGGTTTTTTCCCAAAGTGCTGCAGCCTTGCGAAAGCGAGACTCTCTGTTGGTTGTCCTCAAACTTGACAGGACAAGACCACTCCCACCACCTCATGTGTGTCTAACACATGTGTCATGCGCATGTCGATTGAGCATGCATCTGCACTTTGGTCCTCGTAATCACATCGAATTCCTCCTGAAAGCTAGTTGCAGTGTTGAAGACACAAGAAACATATACACTAGGTTTGACTGTATATGTGTATACAATATCTGCATATGAGTACATATGGCGTTTCAGATTGCATGTTTCTAAGTGCAAGACTTTTCCCCTCGGCTTCACCTTTTCCACTGGCTTTTCCAAAGGCCAAGATCCTTCAAGCAATAATTCAATGTGCAACTTGACCTGAAACTTAACCACATAGTTCTGTGCCTACACCGAAGGAGCTCATGCCGAAAGTGCCTCTCAGAAAAAAAACACGAAAACTCAAAAAGTCACGATTCATCGAAAAAGAATGAAAAACATACGTCTGTTGGGAGACCAATTCTTCAGCACACATCCCAAAGCCATGTATTGCCTATTCGCTGCGCCAACAGGCCTGTGTCTGAAACTGGAGGTGCGCGGACCTCTGATTTGATAAGTTCCTCGCAGCAAAACATCCACATCAAAGGCAACGGGGTGTCTTGCAGGGAGGTACATCCGGCACAGCCACATTGCCACAGATCACTCGCTTCACGTCCCTATCTGGTTCTTTATGGTTCTTTGGCACGTTGTCCTTCGGTACAGCTTCCGGCCCCGCAGCTTCATGGTTCTGGGACCTTACCACAGGAGCAACATGTAGTGACCAAGTAGTGACCAAGTCAGACGCAATCTTTCCATTAAGTTATGCTGTCCTTCCACAAAAAAACAAAAAGAGAAGTCTTGGTCCTCTTGGAAGGGAGAGATTCCAAAGAGCTGTGGAAGATTCGTTGCTGACTTGGCTAGTGAACGCAGTTTTCGAATGTCACGATATTAAAACACATTTCAGTGCGGCTTCCATCCACACTGATGTTTGGGTGTGTCTTGTAGACACATCGCCACATCGCATCACTTTGAATC